GTAAGTTTAAATTGCGATCTTTATATACACATTTTGGACTGGCAGAATCGTCCATACAGTAAAATATTAGTATATTACTATTTACAATATAAGGTAATTTATTTTAAAAATTAACTATGTAAACACTCGTCATCCTCTATTGCTAATTATTATTTTTAAACATATTAGCGTGTAATTATGTATAATTTAGGTAAGTTTTATAACTAAAAACCGGATTTAATAGATATTGCAACTTTTATTCATACCAGGTACCTATATCAAATATGAACAAATATGTTTACAAATCGGGTTAATTACATTCTTTCTACTTAATTTAATAATGTAATTTTGCAGTTATTGCAATTTTATATATACTTCACAGTATAAAATATACAAATTGTTATTTCTAAAATAATTTTATAATAAAAATATAACTACAACGTAAATTTTTACATGTAGTTAAATGAAGTTTAACATTTTTAAAATTATATTTATCTGAATTATCCACAAAACTTACAAGTTTAGAAGCATCAAATTGACTAGGAGTATTATATTTAAAGCCGCACCTCCACCACCAAAACTCATGATCCGCGACTGCAAACGATAATACTAAAAAAATATATATCAAAACAACATTTGAAAATCGTTTGCTGAATAGAATTTTACGTACTTCCAAGTTTATAATTAAATTTTCACTCACAACTAGGACGCTGATAAGAAAATTATAAAACTGTATAAGGATTTATTTTATGAATTATAATCTATATCTACGCTTGATCGATTTTAAACGCGTGTAGTACAAATTGCGTACAATATTATCCTTTAAATCATAATATTACAATTATGAATTTTTTTTCGTAGAAAACAATAAAAACCTCTATATAACTGTCAAAACAAGATTGCTGGCCAGTCTTCCGGTAAAACATTGGATGTCAGGATATTTTTCTGTTTCACTTTTGTTAGAATAATTTTAATTAGTCCGAGTTGTAACCAATTATATTACCTGATAAATACCCTTGTATATACCTATAATTAGAGCCTAGCTACAAAAATATTTTGGAGGTGGTTTTAAATTTTAAATCCTCTCTCCTAGTAAGAGCTAACTTTTTAATCTTAATAAGTCAATTAAACATAAGTTGAAATATAAAATTTGTAATCATTTAGTTTGTTGAAACTGTGAAAATTGTTTGATGATGACAATATGCTGTCTACTATCATAGGCGTGCGTAAGGGGTATGCAGGGTATGCAATTGCATACCCTAAACATAGAACCTTCTTTCTAAAATTATAAAAAATAAATAAAAATTATGACATATTTGGTCTTATGTATATTATGTGATTTTGTATTACATTATGATTTTTATTATGTTTTTATATTCAGTCCCAAACAGTTAAATTTATTTTTGAAGCACAAATCATATGCTATAATAACAATTTAATGTGTGATAATGAAATTAAGAAGTATAATAATTATTTATCATATTTATTTTGTTTTTCATTTAAGTATATAATTACGTTTTTATTTATTTACCTTATTTAAACGTATTAATCAAACCATTTTAAGTGTTACGTCCATGTAACCGGCCCCTCCACCACGAAAACTTAAAAAAAATTTTATTCAAATATTTTGTACGTAATTTGTATGAATTTATACGACAGTTTTCAGAATTTGTACGATGTTTTTATTAGACTAATATCAAAAATACTGAAGAGAGTGACATATGTCTCCGGCCCCCCTAACATAAATAAATTAGTATTCTTTTTTTTAATTTAGTAAAACTCAAGAATTCAATTTGTATGAATTTGTACGACTATTTTCAGAATTTTTACGCCACCTCCTCTCCTGTAATATGTGAAAAACCTCTTTTCTCATGCCCCCACCACCCTAAATTTAAAATTTAAAATTTTTCTTCTACAAACATTTTACACATCATTTTTATGAATTTGTACAACCATTTTCGGAATTTGTATGGCACCGATTTACCCGGAAAATAAATTTTCTATGTGCAGTGCGGGGGAAACGTTTTTTCACCGACGCGGAAAAATAATTTTTTCCAAAAATTTTCTACGACAATATTTAATATGTGATTTACATGCATTTGTACGACCGTTTCTAAAATGTGTACGTCACCTCCTTTTTTTCATATGACAGAAGAGAGGTTGCCGTAAAAATTCCGGAAACGGTCTTAAAAATTCATACAAATTATGTGTAAAAGGTTTGTGAAAGAAAAAGTTTAGATTTCAAATTTAGGGGGACGGGAGATATGGGAAAAAGGGGTTTTCACATATTACAGGAGAGGAGGTGGCGTTCAAATTATAGAAACGGTCGCACAAATGCATGTAAATCACATTATAAATATTGACGTAGAAAATTTTTGGAAAAATTATTTTTCCGCGTGGGTGAGGCTGGAGAAACGTGTCCCCCGCACCACACATAAAAAATTGAGTTTTCCGGGTAAATCGGTACCGTACAAATTCCGGAAATGGTCGTACAAATTCATACAAATTATGTGTAAAATGTTTGTGGAAGAAAAAATTTAGATTTCAAATTTGGGGGGCGGTGGACACGGGAAAAAGGGTTTTTCGAATGTTACATGAGAGGGGGTGGCGTTGAAATTTGATAAATATTTAAATAAAATTTTTTTTAAGTTTTCATGGTGGGAGGGGGGCGGTGACATGGACGTTCAAGTGTTATGTATTCAATTTTTTTTTTGTAATTTATTTTAAATTTTAATTATGAAGACAGTTATAACGATTAAGAAATGGCTATTCAGTCACTTTTTTCGGGAAAAAAAATTAAAATTTTAAATTAAATAATTATTAAGACTAGAATTTCGAACGCTTAAATTAACTTTCAGTTTTAAGGGGGTGGATAGGCAGTGGCAGCCTTTTGCATACCCTGAAAAAAAGTTCTGCGTGCCTACTATATCGATGGCTAAAGTTGTAAGTCACAATGGCTAATTTTATCAAGAGAGCAGTATAAAGGTTTTTAATTTTTCATTATTATAACTCACATAATCATTTTTCGTTTTTCTGGGTCATAACTGATTTATTTGTAAAATGTTTTATAGAACCTAACGTAATTTTACTTTTGGATTTTTTAGTTGTTTTAAATGTAGTTCGAATAATTTTATTTAATGTAAGTGGGACTTAATATAATTAGCAGTTGGAATTTGTTATTGCTAAGGACGTAGAAAATGTAATGATGTGTATAATTCGACTGTAAAATACTGCACAAATATTTTATAATAATGTATACTATATGATTTTAAACCATCTAAAAAAATAATAAATTACGGCTCTTTCGATATCCGCACGGACAACACAAATCAAACAATAAAGGCCTAACCCAACTCCATTAATATCATAAATAGGTCACATCTTGAAACGATCAGACCAAGGTGCATTCAACCATACCCTTATAGTACAGGGATATAATACTCTTTTCTCCGGCTCTTGATCTTAGGTCGTCAATGCGTGCGCACGGACCGTCAGATTAGTAAAGGAGTTTACTGCGACAATTCATCACCGTGTACGAGTACCTATTTAACTTTTAAAATTCATTTTTTTGATTTGAGTTTTCTGTGCGAGTGTTGAAAAGTGTTTAACCTGCAGCACATCAAATCATGTGTTTGTCTCATTTCAACCTCATTACATTCCTGCGATAGTTGTAAGTGTACAGTTCGTGGACATTTGATTCGAATAACTGCTACAATACGAGTAAGTGCTATTTTATTTAGCTTACCAGACTATCCAGTTGTGCTGATCGGCTCTCAAACCTTTATAACCCCGAGAGCCCTCCCTTAAACAAGAAGGAAGGTAATCAACCCATTATACATTATACATAAGTACATACTATACACCATATCTCCCCACCTTTATAATAATTTTCCTTTTATTTTTACTTTTGTATTTTCGGGTTATCACAAAGGTTTTGATGGACGTATAATAAAATAAAATTAAAATTAAAATAAAATTAATGACAATACGAATTAAAACTCTTTAATACTAATTTATAAAATCTGTAACGTTTTATGTTATAAAAAATGTAATTTTTTTATAAAAATTTAAAATAATTGATATTTTTGTTCCCAAATAACATCTAAATAAATTAACACTTGACTTAAAATGTTGGTCAAAATATAAAAAACCTTTTTCAACTATTATCCATAGTAATTATATGAATAAATATGTCTTATTTTATTATATTATAAAGTGTTTATAAATAATTCATATTAATTAAAATTATAAAATAAAATAGTTACATCAATCTTTGATAGTTGACATATAATAGGCGATCCAATAAAAAATACTATCTAGATTTACCTAATTGACTTATAAAACGATTTTAAGAAAAAATGGACTTACAACTTTTGGTATCTTACCCATCGATATAGTATATATTATATTCTTATGTACTTTAGTAAAAGTAACAGATTAATAATGATTTTTGACGTATTAGAAAATGTTTATTATGGTTTTATGTTTTAACAGTTTGTTATTTTGTTCAGTATCTATAAGAACTGTGCGTTTCGATATCGGTGAAACATTCAAAATCAAACGACGCGTTTAGAAAATTATATTTTTCCGTAATTTTATTAGATTTTATCGGCCTTAACGTACATACGTACAACCAAGGCACGATAAATTGATCCGACGGAACCAAACTACCGTGTGATTGGAGAGAGGGAACACTTAACAGGTCAGAGTTTGAGATGTCTGCTTCCACACGTTCTAATAAATCGGTATCCCTATGTTCGTAACAGTTGTTCCACTGTCATTTTGTTTGCGCCGCGACGATTTCGTTGTATTTTAATCGTGTTTTTAACGTCGTAGCGATAGTAATATTATATTTTGGTGACGATGAGTCCGCGCAGCTGCACTCGTAACATCAATGGGCCGCAGCGGTGTGGGATATTTCGCGTACCTCTATCGTTCGCCCTGTCACTTTCCGGCGGCCGACGATTGTGGGATGGCGCGCGGAGTGGAGGCTGACCTGTTGGCTACTGCCGTACTCGACGTACCGCGGTCGGTTGGAGGAGTATCACCGCGACCGTGGTGTTGAACTTGTCGCGTGCGCCGTGCTTACGTTGTTCGATTGAACCCGATAAGTGCAATATATTCGCAATCGAATACATTATTATTATTATTTTGGCCGGTTCATACACGGAGCCACCGATGAAATTCTAACTCGTACAGCCATATCGGTTTTGGGTCGTTACGATCGGACGAACGAACAAAAAAGCTATTATTATTAACACGTCCAAATACTAAACGTACGGATTGCCGGTTTTGCGATTTTTATCTGAGAAAAAGATTGAGTGATATTGAGGAAAATAACAAAAGTTATTACATAGGTACGTTTTTATTATTTTTTTATTGTATTTTATTTACGTTTTTTTTTGTTTTTTTTTTTGTCACTGTCCCAAACGATTAACTCGTTTCGTTGAACCAATGTGTTACGTTATCATAATATTGTTATTTTTATTATTATTGTTATTATCTATTCGTCATGTATAGAGGCACTCGTCGCAATCGCTGTTACATTCGCTGAATATTGAGAGAGAAAAAATAACTATGCGTCTACACCCGTTCGTATATTCGGTCAGCCCACGTTAGGTCATAAAAATGTATGTCATGACCGCGGTACGGTTAAAATAAAAACTGCGGTCAACTCTGAATTATATAAACACCGTTCGAGTGAACGGACGACGCAAACCAAAGTTAAAAAGCTTACAACGCTATGTGTCTAGTTTAAAAAATCAACTTGTTATTTTTTTTATTGAAGAATTGTGCGTTGTACGATATTTTAGAGTGTATTATAAAAATATGTATATAATATGATGTATATAAATATTAATAAGTGGAAAAAAATATTCACCAGATTGACTATAATTTATTTTTTTCTCAACAGTACTCATGACGCGTAAACAGGTTTTTTTTTTTTAATACAGAGAACGAGCGTGTTTGAATTTCGTGGATCATTTCATACAGTTGCCGCCTTTGTTGGAATGCAGAACTGCACTAGACATTAATTATTCCGTTATTTCGGTCAACATGTTATATAATTATTCACATGTCGTGTCATGATATTGGATTTAACCGATCAATAATAAATACAGAAAACAACCGAATACAAAGTATCAAAGGTCATTTCTGAAACTTGCGTTGAGAATCTACATCTGTACAATTGGCACTAGATGTATATCTATTACTAACACATTTTATGACCCAAGTTTTTATCTTAAAAGTTCCGTATGTATGTCGTCGTACGCTCGTTGCAAGTATTATTGCATGATGACGTAATTGTTATACATTTTTGGGTGGGTTGTATATATACTATACTATATACTATTATTGTACTAATTGATCGGCTGGTAATTAAGTAGTTTTTGGTGACATGGTATACGGACGAAACAATACGGATTCCGTTGGATTTGTTTTTATTTTTCGTTACACGAAGATCGATAGCCATACTTTTATTTGATAAAATACTCATTACTTCTTAATCATTGACGGAAGGTTTCAAAACTCGATCAATGCGCACTGGTATACGAAACTCTTAATAACTTTGTTCCTTGTCGCAGTGCTATAATAGTGTAAACAGCATGCCATCGATTAACCTTGACATTCGAAGTCGTTTAAATAATAATGTTATTGAAGTGTGTATCAGCTAACGCAAGGATGATCGACGACGGCCCAAATTTACGCAACAATGAGAATAACGTTTTACTTTTAACCTATTGTTTTTATTTTCACCCAACGGAGACCACTTTCATTCTTCCGCGTTCGATTGAACATTCATCTTGTTCACGCGATTCGACGGAAAGTTCAATGACCACGATTGACCACCCATTTGCACAATCCATGTATAACAACAATACGTAAATCGTAAATCGTTAAATTTACCGAAGCGAACACGTGAGAGTTAAAATGATGATGGATTTTAAATAATATGGTGTTCACATGACTATTATTTTCATTAGAACACACACGTAGGTACCATACGCGGGCGCCGTAACATGTGCAACCGTTCCTGACGAATCCGAGTGCATGTGTACGTGTTTGTATTTCTAAAGGTGGTTTTACGTGAACAATTGTAGAAAAAACAGTAGAACGGTTCAAACCGGTTTCGGTGTGTAGTAACTTCCCCCCCCTGGAATCCAACGGTGACGTGTGTGTTTACCAACAGTGGGGCGTGGACGAGACGATTATCATAAAAGCGTTAACTCCGAAATTGTGTGTGCCCCAAAATTTTACCATAGCTTTAAAATTTTTTTATTCTAAAAGTAACAATAAATGCATATTATTTCTTCTGTATTAACTATCCAAATATTATATACCATATTAGTATATTACCCACTGGCTTGCACATAACCGTACGTATTTTTATAGATTACAAGTCTTCATAAATTACATGTGATTGATTGTAAGAATATAGTGTGGGATAAAAAAAATTAAACTAACCCTACGGATGGCAAAGAAAATACCTCTTCAAAAATAGATCGAAATTTAAATTTCAACGATTATTTCGTATTTAATTCTGGCTGTCAGTCGTATTCGTAGTTCTTTTTTCGTACTTACTCCTCACTAAATCGAATTTTCATTATATTTATATTACATTTATATATTCAAGATTCTAAGTGAAACAAAGAATGTATTGGTTTTATTATATGTGTTCTTATATTCAATATTTTACATAAGTGAATAATATTCGGCATTTACTAGTTGGGTCCCTAAGACCGTTATTTAGCCTAGTTAAGTCCCAGTATTTTTCATTTCGTATACTAGTTTGGTTCATATAAAAAAAAAAAAAAACATTTCGCTTTTAATTTTTACAGACTTAAGAGTGTCAATTACTTATAAATTAGAACACAGATATAATTTTTTTTTTTAAAAGTCTAATATATAGTATATAATTATTAATTGAAAATTAGAATACTGGTATATGGTAAATAAATATATTAAATGATTAAAAAAATTAAAAATTTACCCAATTGGTAAAAAATTGAAATGATAGAGTTTTTATAAACCCAAATTTATTAATTTTTTAATATTACCATCCTTACTAGTTGTTTATCTTTATCATAAAGACGAGTATTATCTGGGACCCAATTCAGATACGAAATCATACGAATATCATATGAGTGAATTCAAAAATATAACTAATCAGTATAAAAGGCTCTCTAAACCAGACACGGTGATGTATGTCTTACAGACGGTCGTAAAAGACTAAGTAAATGCAAATTTGCTTTATTGTATAGACAATAGTGTATAATATGCAATATTATGTTATTTGCATTGTTCAAGAGATAATTTATTTACATTACATTTACGTTTTACTCAATTATATAGTTAAGTAGATATGATGAATTTAGTATATAACATAATAGGTTTGTTCGTTTTGTCAAAAAGTGTACACAAAAGCGTTTGTTTTGAAAAAAAGGTAGTCTTACACACTGTTTGTTTTAAAAAAGTGTAACATTAGTGTATTATTTTTTCACACTGACCCAAGTGTAAGTGTAGGCACAGCGTTTGTAGTGTAGCGTTGATCGTTATCAAATTAAGCCTTATCAGCTAATAGTTTAATCTGCAATTTCAAATAAATGACGAAACACGATTCACCAAATACTGACTATTATAATCGTTTATAGTATTTGGACTCATGAATACTGTGGTTGAGTTATAAAAATAATAAAATATATAATACGTGATATTTTTATATTTCATTATATTTATATATATATTTAATTATAAATATTATATAAAAATAATGTAAACACCCATCATCGTCGTAATCGTTTACATATACAGCTGCTTGGATTTTGATAGGATTCCACAGCTCTAACAATATTTCGTCATCGGAAGAGTCATAAAACTCCATCACGTACAATTTTTGTATTTCTATTTCTTTTAATATTATAACTGTTAATTATGTATATTAAATATTATACAAAAAGTTTACTTAATTATTGTTCAATTCTACTATCAATAGAAATAAATTATTATCAATTATTAAAATTGATAAAAAATATCAGCTGATTAATCTACAACAAAACCATTTGTTTTGAAGACAGATATCTGATCACACCCCTTACACTCAGACACTACACTAATTAGTGTACCTACACTTTTTTTTCTAAACGAACAAACCTAATATATCATAGTGTCTATCGTCTGATATTATACACAACTGCGTGGTATTTGGTGAATTTTTCATGTTTTTAATCTGCAAGATCACATATTTACGTACTGCTTAAAAATCTATTTGATAGCCTAGGACTAAATACTTAGATACTTACTCTAAAATCTACGATCGCGGTAGCATGAGATTTTAATAATATTATCGTTCCAAATTATCTTACCACAGAACAATATTTTATCTCAATAAGAACCGTGAATACTTATATCATATTAAAAGTATACACTGCATTACACCATAACACTTATTTCAATAGATTTCGGTTAAATAGAAATAATTTGGAATATTATTTCATCCAGACATTTTAACCTAATTGTATCGAAGTTTTTTTCATAAAAGCTATAAAATATTTTTAAATCTCTTGACAGTATTTACGAAAACCACGAAAATCTTATGTTTGTGTAATACGTAGTAGGATCAAAAAGTTCTCAGAATTTCATTTTATTTTTTTATATATACAATTTAATATAAATCTACTTAATCTCCTTCAAAATATTGTCCTTTAACACACACTTCAACGACTTTTTAACTGATGGAAACATCTTTGATATCCCTTTATTAGAATGGCCCTGAGATTCGCTATCGCGTTTAGTTTAATGTCTTCAATCTTCGTAAAACGTTCACCTTTGAGTCCATGTTTTAGGTTTGGAAACATCCAGAAGTCACATGGAGCAATATCTGGTGAATACGGGGGTTATTGAACTGTAGAAATTTTTTTATCCGTCAAAAATTGCTGAACTCCAATAGGCGAGTGGCGTTGTTCAAATTGTGACATATTGAAAAAATGCGTAAACTCAGTTTCGTATGGACACGATTGCGGCTCACATGAGACTCATGTAATTAACCTACTGATAGCTAATATTGTCTAGTTTTAATTCCAATAATCAGATATTTGATAAGAAAAATAGTTTTTTTCCTATAAAAAAAATTCCGGGAACTTTTTGATCCTACTATGTAATTATTTCATTGTTATATAATTTAAAATTTAATGTAAACCTTGATAATTATATTTTATTATAATCCTGTAAAATTAGAAAATGTAATACATTTTCCCATCCACTGGTTTTTTTATCATCATTCCTATCAATATTTAAGTGTTTTTAGTTAACTCTATTATAAGGTTCATTGCGATTTGAACGGTTAATTATATATAAT